TAATCTGCAGAGATATCTCCACTTTCCTTTGTTTGCCCTAGAAACACCAGCACAACTTGAACAGAATGACCAGAAGGCTGCTGGTGCAGCAACTGCGCCCAGCTCAGGCACGTCTGAAGCTGAGCAGCATCAAGGCATGGGTTGTGTCCTCCTCTCACCTGGGTGGACTCCAGAAGCCCACTGAACCTTGCTCACCTCTGTCTGCCCTGGCATCCTGCAGCAGCCAGTTCCACAGCTCAGTTGCACACAGGTGGGGAGAGAAGAGCAAATGCCACCAGGTCCATCCCCAATCTGCTTCCTGGGCAGCCTCCACGGTCCTTCCCTTGCTTCCTACCAACACAGCTTGCAGTTTGGGACTCCATACTCCTCTGTATTTCACCTTCCAGTTCTCATTTCAAAGAGCCCTTTGCTAAAACAGAATCAATCTCTCCTTGGGCAGAGCCAACCCAGGGAGCAGGGATTCAGCCCCCATTTCCCATTCCCCAAAGAGCATCCCTGGAGTCCCCAGCTCACTTGCCATCTCTCCACAAGCAACCCTCTGAGTCCAGCCCACTTGCTACATGCTATGGACAGTGCTAATGGCATCTGCCAAGCAAAGGGCCAAGAGCAGGAGGGACTGGGCTCTAGACACCTTCCCCACTGCTCCCCGCTGTGCTCAGGCAGAGCAGCTCCAGCAAAGGGATACAGGCAAAGCCAGGAGCAGGTGGATGGCAAAGCCCAATTTCATTACCACTCAGCAAAACAAAGCGTCTCTTGAAAGCACTGGTGACAGTCAGGAAGTTGGGCTGGGTGCTTTGTTTTGCATTTTAAGAAGCCTGCAGGGACACTGACAACCTGCAACGATCACTTTCAGAAAGGAGCTCAGAGAAATTCATGATTTTCAGCAACCACTTACCCTCCTTTGTCCTTGATTTAAAATTTGCCAAGAGGCTGCTTACAAGATGCATCGAAACAGGCAGTGACCACTGCCCTAAATGCGAAGGAGGTTTGCTGCAATACCTCCCCAGTACATCACTCACAGAACCCCACACCAGTGCCTGGGGATGGCTTTAAGAGCAAAAACATGACTTTCAAGCTGACAGCCCCCGTGCACAAAGCATGGCTGTGCGGTGACAAGAGAGCAGCCTGGGGCACAGGAGCTGCCTGACCTCTGCTACAGCTCTTGCCAGTGGATTTTTATTGTTCACCACTTTCCTAAAGCGCAGGCACAGAGAGAAAAGCAACTAAGACACTTGGCTCAAAATGCAAATGCTGCCAGGGAGCCCTACCAGCACAGCAGGGAAAAGACAACCTGCCGGAGGGGACCACAGCTTGGTGCTGCCAGGCTGGGGGGAAAAAGGATCAGAGCATGAGCCCTCCCTTTCCAGGGGCAACAGCAAGAGGTGCTGGAAGTCTGGATCACCACAACACAGGCTCACTTGAGAGGAAGCAGCTCCTAACACAAAGCATTGCAGGCCAATCCTCTGCTCTGCATGGTCGAGCTGAAATCCTTCATCCTGCTTTCCAGGGTAGCCAAGGAAAGCCCAGAGCTACAGCTACACAGCCAGCGAGGCCAGTTCTCCAGGGACCAAGCTGCAGCTGGAAAATAATATTCCCAAGGCCTATCATGAGTGCTGCTTGCTGGGGACGCTGCTTGCCTTGCCCTCTGCCGTGCACGCAGCAAAGTGTGGAGCCCTCCCAAACCACCCCACTCCAGAAAACCCAAACACCCCATATTGGACATGGGCACCCTGGGCTGCTTGTGCCCTCCAGGAAATGGCTCATGCCCTGAAATGCTGAGGGCTTGGAGTTGCAAGGGCGAAGGAAAGGATAAGCACCGTGGTGCAGCTCTGCTGCCCAGGGAATCAGCAGCCTGGCTTCTCCCAGCAGCCCTGCAAGCGGACAGCACAGATCCATGCCACTCCCCTCCAGAACTGACCTGTCTCAGGGAGCCATGCAACATCCTTGTGCAGCTCCGTGACCGCAGGGCTCAGGGCCAGGCTCTCCCAAGTTCCTGCACACCACTGTCGGAGGGCCTCTGGGAGGGCTTCCCAGCACCAGCAGCAACTTGGATGTTTTAGCAGCCTCTGGACACATCAGACTGCACCTCGTGGGCTAAGTCTGCCTGATGGGTACGCAAACCCCTTGGCCAACCATTCACCTACACAGGGCAGGTGACAAACCGTGTTCCTCCACCTTGCTCCAAGCAGGGAGCCAAGGGATGGTGGGAAAATGCCGTGCACCGGCTCCTTGATTCAGAAGTGAAAAACTAAAAGCATCCATAAGCCAGGCTTTTCTGCTGAAAACCAGCACTGTGCTGCTTGCTGCCACCACCTCCCGAGCTGTGCCCGCGGCCGGGCTCACGTGACAGTGGAGTGGATGCACATGGGAGGAGTGGCTGTAGTGACAGCGTTACAGCTGGTGTCCAACACGGCTGAGCCCAGCGAGTCCCAGCGCTCTGCAGCTCTGCTTTACAAACCCCACACACTGCGCAGGTACAGGGGTGTCAGTGACAGTCAGGCCCCAGGAAATGACACCTGGAGGGACACAGCCTCCCGAACTCCCTGATGTCCACCAGGGCGAGGACAGGCCCACACCAAGCCTCGGGGACAAGGAGAGCTGTTCTTACACCAGCCCCAACTGCCCAGGGCCAGCCTTTCCATTCTTTGAGCAGAGAAGCTCCCACTGGGAAGCAGGGACACCTGGCTGGACAAGCATGACTTTACCCTGTCCTGCTCTTCTCTGAGTGACTTCACATCAGTCCCCACACTGCCCTGGGAGGCAGGACTTGACCAGCTTTGCAGACACCTGGGAGAAAAGTGCTGTGAGCTAAAGCCCAGCCCCTACCTGCCAGCTGTTATTTCATTCCTCTAACAGGTCCATAAACCAAGGATAATTAAATCTCCCCTAAACTCTCTTCCATTTAAAATAAAAATCTATAGTCCCTATTTCATTAGCTGGCTCTGGGTTTTACAGCTTGATCAATTCCCCTCGCAGAGCCCCAGTCCCGGGCAGGCAGGCGCAAACACACGGCTTCCACGGTGCAGATCAATGGGGATTCGCAGCCTCCTCTCCCCATTCCTTGTTCCTCACTCGTCAGAGGGAGCCAGGCGGCGCAGCAGGTAGGGATGGTGTGTTTCACTGCTCAAGGGAACACCACCGCCATATGTGGCTTCAGAGGACGGAGTTAGTGCCTGGCAAGAGTGGAGGCAGCAGCAATTCTCCCCCTCCAGTGAAGGGAGAGCCCAGCATGGGGCCCCAGAAACACAGCCATGACCCTAGAGGCAAAGCAACACAGCACACAGGCAAAGTGACACCTCCCCGCTTGCTCCACCGTGAAGAGGGACAAGGCTCAGCTCCCATGACTGACAGCTGGAGTCAGAGCCCACCAGAAGCATCAACTGAGAACCAAGAGCAGCCACCACAACTCCGACCTCCCAACACACAAAACGGAAGAGGCTCATCACAGCACACAGGCTCCCCATTTCCTGCTCTTCCTGGCCCTCTGCTGCTGCCCTGCCACACACCACCTTCACCCTGCCAGTCTGGTGGGCTCTAGATGGCTCTCATCACCCCTGCAAGCCTCTCCCTCCACTGCAGTGGGAGCTTCCAGCACTGGCAGCAGACGGAGGGATCACAGCAGCAGCCAGAGCTGCACAGAGAGCGGCCAGGCAGAGCCCATGGAGCGGAGATCAGTGTGCCAGGCAGTCCTTGCCCCGGCCCAGCACCCTGATGCCACCCAGCATCTATCACACCATTTCCCTCCACTCCAGTTAAGTATCCCTCCCTCCCCTGGCCTTTGCTCAGCCAGAAAGCAGCAAGTTGCCACAGTCCTGGTCATGCCAGAACACATCGTGGAGGCAGCCCCAGAGGGCAGGTCTAGAAGCCCTGGCCCAGAGAGCTCTGCCCTGTCCACACAATGCCAGTGATGGACAAACCACACCACCAGGGCCCAAACCCCAATCTGTGCCAACCCGCCTTCGGGCAGGCTGGCACACTGGTACCTGCCAGGGGACATCAGGACTGGTCACTGGGACACAGCACAGCCACCATTCAGAGCATCCACTCCAAGCAAAGGCCTGCTATCCCACAGAGACTCCCTGCCCATCTGCAGGGGGAGGACACTGGAGCCTCACACACACACACACACACACAGGTGCCTCCTGCCTCACCTCCCATGCCAACACCTGCCCTGTCTCCGCTCCCACTGGAGAGGGGGCATGGATAGGCCACAGTCCACCTGCGAAACCAAACCCACTGCTGAAGGGCGAGACGCCACCCAGCCAGCCCCAAAGCAGCCACCCAAAGGTGACAAACAAAGGCGCCCGGCAGGCACTCCGCATTAGCAGTATTTTTAGACACCACTATGGAGCCGGCCTTATTATTTTCATTGCAACGTGCATAATTACCCGCCATGCACCGCAGTGACATCAGACGCAGCCGGCTCCCCTCCGACAGCTGCTCCTCCTCCCAGGGCTCCTGCCTGGCCCCGGGGACCCACCTGCCCTGCCGGTCTCTGCCTGCCCCTCTCCCCGGGGCACGAGGCCCCACCTCGAGGGGGACCTCGAGGTCCTGGGGCGTCAGAGCCGACATGAGCACAGGTGGCAGAGGGACAGAGCGAGGCAGTGGCACAGAATGGTGAGGAGGCGAGCATGGGGACGAGCTCCGGAGCTGCGGACACACGGCCAGTTGTGCCGGAGCAGAGGGCTGGTGCAGAGCTGGCGAACAGGGCACCAGCACAGAACCGAGCAACGTGGGAAGAGGGGCTGTCCCCACTCGGAGGGACAGCACCTGCCTTGCCGCAGGGTTCAACTGCCCGGGAGAGCAAACGCGGGGAGCCATCCCAGCTGCCCACAGCCTGGTCCCACACGTCCTCTGTGGGACAGGGATGCCACGGGTCCCGCACACAGCCCACGCTTCCAGCACAGACCTTGCAAGCCCGGTGGCACAGCCTGTCCCACTGCCTCCACCCAGGGTGCCACCATCACCGCCCCGGCAGTTCAGGCTCATTTGTTTCCTACCTCTTCCCCAAACGCAACTTTCCGAAGAGCTGCACCGCTTCTCCTCCCGTCCCCTCTAACACGCCGGGGCTTGCACAGCTCCCGGGGTGCAGGGGCACAGCGGACGGGGCACCCTGGGGTGCGCAGCAGGGCGAGGACACAGCACCAGCCTCGGCAGGAGCCCCCGACCCTCGCCCGGCCGGGGCCGCAGAAGCCCCCGAGAAGGGGCTCCGGCCGGGGCAGGCCCGGGCAGCCCCCGGGGCCGGCAGGGATCGCCCCCTCCCCGCTGCCCCGCGCAGGCCCCTCTGCGGGGCCCCTTCCCCCCGCGGGGCTCCGCGGGCATGGGGGGCTCCTCCCACCGCCGTGTGGTCGCACCGGGCCCAGCTGCGCTTTACGGCCGCTCCCCCAGTATCCCGGTGCCCCGAGCAGCCGCCGCTGCCCCCGCTCGCCCCGGCCATCCGTCCGCTCTGCGCACCGGGCCAGGCCCGGCCGTCCCCGCCGCACCGGGCCGCGCTCGCTCCTCCGGCCCTGCATCCACTCCATCGCTCCGGGCCCTGCCCGCCGCCCTCCCCGACCTCCCCGCCCCGGCGCTGCCCTCCCCGTTCCCCCGGCCCCGGGCCCTGCCCGCCGCCTCCACCCCGGGGCACCGGCCCTGCCCCGCGCAACCTGGGCCTGCGGCCGCCGCCGCCGCACCCCGTACCTGCGGGAGGCTCTCCCCCGGCGCTCGGTGCCGTGCCGCGGCGCTGCCCGCCGCTCAGCCCGCTCGCATGGCGCGGCGGCCGGGCCCGCCGGGCTCCGTGTCCGTGCCGGTGCCGGTCCCGGTGCCGCTCCCGCTCCGGCCTCAGCCCCGCCTCATGGCGCCCCCGCGCCCGTCGCGCCGATGGAACCGGCCGCGCCACGCCGCCTCCCCCCCCCCGCGCTGCGCCGATGGGCGCGCCCGCCGCCTCCTGCCGTAATGAGCCCAAGAGCGGCGCCAACAAAACCGCGCGCCGGGGCGGCCCAGCCGTAATGCTCCGAATGGCAGCGCAATCCACACCAGCCCGGCGGTGTGCTGGGGAAGATCACGGAAAACACAGAAATCACAGAATGACGGAGTCAGTTAGGTTGAAAGAGACTTCCGAGATCATCGAGTCCAACCTATGACCGGACACCACCCTGTCAACTAGACCAGGGCACTGAGTGCCACGTTAGTCTTTCCTTGAATACCTCCAGGGATGGTGACTCTACCACCTCCCTGGGCTGCCCGTTCCAATGTCTAATCACCCCTTCTGTGAAGAAGTTCCTCCTGATGTCCAACCTAAACCTTCTCTAGAGCAGCTTGAGACTATGTCCTCTTGTCCTGTCACTGGTTGCCTGGGAGAAGCAACCCTCCACCTGGCTACGACCTCCTTTCAGGAAGTTGTAGATGTCCCGGGACAGCTCTGGGAGGTGTGGAAGTGTCCCGGGACAGCCAGGGCCGGTTTTCAGAGGGGTGTCCAGCACCAGACCTGGGGGTCTCAGAAGGCGCATAGTGGGCTAGCCCTGGCAGTGGGGGTCTGGGGGGGTGTGCCGGGGCAGCCTTTGCAGGGTCTGGGGTAATGCTAGACCAGCTCTGAAGAGGTTTGCTGGGGGGAGAGGGGTGTCACAGTCCCTGTAGCCCCTTCTCTGAGGGCTCCCTGACCCCGATGTGGGGTGATATGGGGACCTCAGAGCAGGCTGAGTGTCTGGGGCGACCCCAGAGCTTCCTCAACATCCAGACCCTGTAGGTTCCCCAGGGAATAGGGGTGAAGGGGCCCAGGGCCATGCAGGCGGGGGTCCAATAGACCCAGTGCTAGCTGTGCCCCCCCGCCACCTCCCAGCCCTCTTCTGCTTGAGCAGAGCTGGACAATCTGTCCTTGTCCCCAGCAGGTCTGAAGTAGGTCAGGGAGGCTGGACCAAGCCCCTGGGGAGGGGAGTGGGTGGCAGGGGGGTGCAGAGGGCCCCAGGCACCCGCCCTAGTGGGCACACCACAGGTTGGTGCCCACCCCTTGTCCTGGTAGGACCCCGGTGTCCCCAGCCCAGGCACATGGGCATGCAGAGCGTTTCCCCAGCCTCTCTTTGGTCTCCTGGTATGCTTTGTGATCCCTCTGCATCCCTGCAGGCTCTTCACCCCTTCTGGGAGCCGGAGTCCCACAGCCAGGATGAGGTGTCTGAATCCTGAGGGACGTCACCCAGCATGGGTGACCCAGACCTGGGGGGCTGTTGTTGGGGATTGAGCGTGGGGCTGGGCTGGGTGGGAACGGCAGGACAGCCACAAGAAATAAGGAAGATGAGAGAGGGATTTCTCACCCCTTAATTGCAGTTAATGATTGATGAACATGTTTACTGCAGGAGGCAAAGGTCTGGCGGTGTCAGGATGCGAGTGCAGAGGCAGCATCCCCAGCGACAGGGCCACAGGTAAGGGATGACAGCCCCAGCCCCTAAAGGCACCACGGGCCATTGTGGGGGAGGAGGGGGGCATGTCTGTTGGCTGTGAGGCTGCCCACAGCCCATGGCACAAGGAGGGAGACCCCACAGTGGTGCCATGGGTTGCTCTCGGACTCCCAGCATTGCCTGGGGCAGCCACACTGGGCGTGAGCAATGGAGCCTCCAGCCAGGAGGCTCCTGCAGTCCCCAGGCACGCTCACGGTCTCCAGTACTTGGAGGTCAACACTGCACCCCCATTGTATGTCCCCAGGGAGCCTGTGCCCAGGTGTGTGGGATGGAGCCTGGTGCTTGCTCACCAGCCCAGCTCAGCAGAGGGACTGTCCCCACCAACATCCCTCCTGCCCTGATAGCTGCTCCCCAGAAGGGATTTGGGGGGGGCAGCCCTCAGCCGCTTGTTCTCTATTGTGTTCCCACAGGATTCCTGGCAGGATGGCATGGCACTCACTGGTGCTGCTCCCCTTCCTCCTGGCAACAGGTAAGGACTCTTCTTGGCATCTGGCATGGGTGGGTGGGGGCTCATGGAGCTGCTTTCATCGCCCAACATTCCTTCTGAATTCCCTGAGAGCAGCTGGGACCTCAAAACAGCTCTTCAACCCACTGAAGAACCAAGGGTAAGGACAGGACAGGGCTGGGCAGTGGGGAGAGCATCCAGCATGGGGGCTACAGCTGGAAGGCAAGCATGGTCTGGAGATGTGGGATGAGCACAAGGGTATGAGGGGTGGTGGGTTTCCCTGCCTTCCCTGGAGAACCAAACCATGGTCAGGAGCTGGGGCTGGAGCTAAGTAGGTGCTGCCACATGTGGGGCTGCTGGCACAGCTCAGCGCTCAGCTCCTACTCCTTGTAGTTTCAGGCAACACAAGCCCCATCTTCAACATGAGCCTTGTTTATGTGCCTGAGGACCTGGAGTTGGGTGAGTAGGGGCAGTCTCAGGAAGGCCCTGGATTGCAGGAGGAGCAGCTGGAGGTTCCTCAGACAGGAGCTGACACTGCCTGTGCCCCCAGACCAGTTTGCTTTCAAGCTGGAGGCTTATGACCTGGACAAGGACGACATCCTCACCTATGGAATCAGAGGGACAGACTCCTTCTACTTCTCGGCCGATCACAGTTCAGGCAATGTGACGCTGAAGAATTCCTTGGACCGCGAGGTGTGGGCAGAGATGGGGCAGATGACCCTGCCTGAACTGGGGGTCTGGGGTGACGGGGACAGAGGGCAGAGCCATGAATCCTATGGGAGAGCTGCTCATGGCAGTACCGTGGGTCACTCACTCCCTGGCCCCAAAATCCAGCTCCTGGGGGGAGAGTTGTCTGGGAGGAGCATCCCACACAGAGGCTGGGGCTCAGCCATCCAAGGACTGAGCTTCACCAAGTCCTACCTTGTGTCCCCTCAGCTCCAGGCCAGGCTCACCATCACTGCCACAGTGTCTGATGGTGTAAATAATGAGGTAAGTGCTGGGGCATGGGCTGGGTGTCTGCAGTGGGAGGGGAGCAGGGTCTCAACAGGGCCATGGACAAGGCTCAGTGGGAAGGGGACTGGAAGTGGGTGGGTGATGCTAACTGGCTTTGAAGCCAGGGTGGGCACGGGGTGCCAAAACTGCACGCAGCTCTGCTGGGCACCATCTCCCATACCCATCCTATGTCCTTCCTGATACCCGGTAGGTCTCCCACACACTCCCCATCATCGTGGAGGACCGTAATGACAATGCCCCGGTCTTCTGGAACTTGCCATATAACGCCATCATCCCTGAGGTACCTTCCTGGGACCTCCCGGCTCCCACGGGCAGCAGGGCAGGGGTGCTGGGTGGCTCCTGTGGGATGGGTGTGCCAGCAGCAGGACAACAGTGCACCAGGAACCCTGTGACCCCACACCTGGGCGTTTGTTGATGGTGTGCCTGGGAGCGGGGCGATGGTGCAGCCAGCACCTGGGAGTGCTCATGCTGGGGCAATTCCCTGTGGGTGCTTCTGCGTCACCCTGAGGCTCTGACACATGGATGGGACTCTGCCCTTGCAGCTTCTGATCAGGGTGTGCTCGAGCTACCTCTCATCCCAGGGCAGGGTGACACTGGATCAGGGTGCAGATGGGGTGTGGGGCTGAGTCTGGCCCCATCCAGCAACTCCAGGACTGGGGTGCAGCCCCTGCTCCCAAGGAGCCCCAAGGAGGGTGATGGGGGGATCCAGCCTCTGCCCAGCTTGAGCAAGGGCAAGAGCTCATCTCTGTGTGTCCCACGGCACTGGGCAGTGCCCGCAGCCCTGCTGGGTCAGAGCACCCCAGAGCAGGGCTGGCAGCTGAGCCCAGCATCACCCCCTGCTCTCCCACCATCACTCCTCTGTGTGCCCAGAACTCGACACTGCACAGCATCATCTACAGTGTGTTTGCGAATGACAGCGACACTGGGAACGCCTCCAGAGTCAGCTACAGCATCGAGGAGGTGAGCAGAGTGCACTGAGGGGTGGGGCATGTCAGATCCAAACCGCACCCCTGGGCCACCCCCTTGGGGCTGAGGTGTTGGGGGACCCAGCCAGGGCAGCCCCATGTCTCTGGGGGAGCTGGAGGTTCTCAGGTTAGGACCAAGTTGTGTGTCTGGCTCTGCACCCACTGGACAACCAGTGCAAGGTGTTGAATCTGCAGGCTGGGGATGAGCCAGGTGGTAGGGGGTCAAGCCTGGTCAAGAATGGGGGTTGAGCCCCCATGTCTTCTGGGACACATCTGCTCCCTGCC